GAATGGGTGGGGTATGCGGTGAGTGTCTGGTGGAAGGGAATGAGAGCAACAGGAGGGACCTTGCAGCAGCAAGTGCAGGCAGGCACAGTTTCCCAAGAGATGTTGGAAGCTGCTGGGTGAGATGTTAGGCTTGTAGGATGTGGCTCCCCAGGTCTAATTAACTGATATCTACTGTATCTATCAGTCAGTCATTGCCCTTGTGAATCTGGATTGACCTATTTTAAATCGATCTTTGATATAGATCCTCTGAAACACGGACAGATGTCCTACAAACTCAACCACTCTATACCGAGGATGGATCAGTCAAAGTTCGAGTCTGAATCGCATTCTGCATCAGCATGTCAGTAGACCATCCATAGTCGCCCCACCCTCCGCTAATGGGATGTTCTATGCTCCCATGTCAACTAGAAAATACGAGCAAGTACCTATCGGCTAGAACGTCTCCCTTTTCCGTCCTTCACAATCCCCTCCGTCCTCTCCCAGTGGGACTTGGGAACCTCTCGCCGGCCTCCCGCCTCTCGCAATGCCGTACGTTCCTCCTCATCGCCGAGCCGCCGCGAACAGCTCCGCAGCCGAACCTGCTGCTCCGTCGGCGGCAGCGCCAAACCTAGGTTATCGAAGCTCGGGAGTAGGTTCGGAAATTAGGTTCGGGGGAAGAGGCCGAGGCAGAGATCGCACCTATCAGGCTGGAGGGCGAGGCAATGAACCCGCGATAAAGAAGATTTCGATAAAGAGCTCTCCTGATACTGTTAGCTGCACCCTAGTTGACGATTCGCCGAGCGAAGTTCTTCCGTAACGGGAGGCCCGTGCAGTGCCGAATGTGGTTGTAACGGGGGCCGAGCTCGCTGTAATCGGATGGTGCTCAGATTCCAGCAGTTTCAAGATAGTTCTCAACAGCGCGACTGGGATCAAAATCTCGCTATCCTAGCACGGGTTCCAGAAACCGAGCCTGACTATAATGAATCACCTGCAGACTCTGCATCCCCCTCCGTATCAAATCCCTCTCTGATCCGCCCTCTGATTCGCCATCTGATTCCGGACCTCTAATCCACCCAGCTCCTCCTCACCCCTCTCCACCGCTCCCACAACCTCCTTATCCGACAACCTAGTAGGCCTTCTAGCCAGGGCACTAGAGGCCGCTCACAGGGACATACAGCTCGTGCCAGAGCTTGGGAGGAGAAGGACGAGAGTGGTGGAGCGGTGCAAGCTCATGGTGAAGCTGGGGAAGCTGCTGCTATCCCCGTCTTGGAAGTCCTCAGTACCCGTGTAAGTTTCTTGTGATATTTCCCCCTTAGGTACAGTGTGAGTCCTTTGATGTGCGTATTCCTTTCCCTCAAGGTACCTTGATGTGAAAGGGCGAAGGCCGAGAGTGGTGGAGTGATGCAAGCTGATGGTGAAGCTTGGAAAGCTGCTGCTGCTATCCCCGTCTTGGAAGTCCTCAGTACCCGAGTGAGTCTCTAGATGTGAAAGACAATGGACGGCTTAATTTCCAGTTTAAGCTGTTCCATTTGCGTCCACATTTCCCCGCTGCTGCAAGGAGAAGCCATCCCCCATCTCCCTCCTTGATCTACCAACCCCTCCTCCATTCCACTCCTCTTTCCCCTTATCCGCCCTCCCTTTTCCCGTCCCCTCACCATGCTTCCTCCCGTTCAGCTCCCTCCTTAGCCTCCCACCTACCCTCCCTCCCTAGCCTCCGTCCTTTCACAGCAGACGTGTTTGAGTCACACGTCAACTCGCCCGCACGCTGCCAACCAGTGCCTCTCTTTCACCGCCTCCCCACCCCCCCTTAACTCCCATCAGCTCCCACCCCTCTCTTCTTCATTTTAGATCTTCCCCTCACCCCATCCCCATTTCCCGTGCTTCTCTCCCCTCCCATCAGCTCCCTCCCGGGCGTCCCTCCCTTCACAGCAGGCGCGTTTGAGTCGCACGTCAACAGACACGCCTCCCGCCTGCCTGTTCCTGTTTTTCGATCATAGGACACAGGCCTCCCAGGGACCCCCTTTGATGCACTGGCACGGATGATGAACGCTTAATACTAGGAGCGGCCTCTCTGCCTCTCTGCCTCCCAGGCACCCTCTTTGATGCACTGGCAGGCAGGGATGATGAATGCTCAATACTAGGAGCGGCCTCTCTGCCTTATCTGAGAAATCCATTCCCCATGCTCCCCTTTCCCCCACCCTACCTTCCACCCACCAGATCCCTCCTGAGCCTCCCACCCTTCACAGCAGGCGCGTTTGAGTCGCACGTCAACAGGCTCGCCTCCCGCCTTCCCGTGCCTGTTTTCCGATCCTATGGCACGGGCCTGCCAGAGAACCTCTTTCATGCACGGGCGGGGATGGCAAGAGAGGGGGGGATGGTGAACAAGGAGAACCTCTTTCATACAAGGAGCGCTCGCACTACCGTATTAGGGTAACTCATTCCCCATGCTCCCCCTCCCCCCCTCCCTCCCCTCCCTTCCACCCACCAGATCCCTCCCAAGCCTCCCGCCCTTCACAGCAGGCGCCTTTGAGTCGCACGTCAACAGGCACGCTTCCCGCCTTCCCGTGCCTGTTTTCCGATCCTACGACACAGGCTTGCCAGAGGCCCTGTTTGCTGCAGTGGAAGATATAGCAGCAGAGGGAGGCGCTGTGAACATGCGATACAAGGATCAATCTCGCTATCACATCTGGGTAATGACTGGGTAGGTTGTGACTGTTTAGTCAACTTTAAAGTCACCTCTGTAAGTATGCTATCGCGTCTGCGTACCCACAACCTGTATCGCGTCAACAAGGGGTAATATGTTGTACTCACTCTCTACCCCCTTCTTCTCCTCTCACTGCTGCCGCTTGTTTGTAACAGATAGCAGATACCGAGTTGGATATCGAGTACAAGGTCATCTGTGTGCCTGACCCTGACAACTCTGGAATTATCCTCACTAAGGTGTGCCTCAATAACATGCTTATGTCAAAGCTCTGTTGTTGTTTTAATATTTCCTTGAGAGAGAGTCTAGGCACGAATGCCCTTTATCTCAACCACCCGCATGGCTCGTTGGAAACGCCTTGGAAACGCATCCCTTCTTCCCACGGTGCTCTGCCTTGGAAACGCCCTGCCCCGTTTGAATCACGACTCGCTGTGCCATGCAGCCATCAACATCACCCACCCCTCCAGAACCATTGACTTGCGCCCCTGCCGCTCCTGCACTCCCTTGCCCTGCACCCCCCAGGTGAAGCACAATTCACTGCGCTATGCAGTCGTTGACATTGCTCGCCCCTCCAAAGCCATTGACTTCCGCCTGCTGCTGCTGAAGGAATCGAGGCTCTGCTCCCTCGATGTGAGCGTGATGGCACCACATGGGCAGTGCTTGTATTGCATGTAATTTTGCCACATGTCCGTGTGCCACTCGTGCGTGTCTGTATCACGTCCGCCTGCTGCTGCTGAGAAAATCGAGGCTCTGCTCCCTTGATGTGCGTATGTGCTGCTGATAAATCTGAGGCCAACACCCCTTTTCCGTGAACTTTGCATGTGTCGTTCCTGCATTACCTCCCTTTCTTTCCTCACATCCCTTTCTCTCTCCTCATCTCTTTCTTTGCTCACATCCCTCCTCTTCACATCCCCCTTCACAACCCGCCTCCTCACAGACCTCCTTCTTGCATCCCTGCTCCTCGCATCCCTCCTCGCATCCCTCCTCTGTTTCCCCTCTCTACTTCTATCCATCAGGATGCCACCCGGTCCGCCTGTGAGCTCATAGCATCCACCGCAATCATCGATGGGACTGCAAGAGGAACCTCCACGCAGGCATAACAGCCCTGGCCATGCACCTCCTCTGGTTCGATCTCACCCTCCTCCCTCCTCTCACCTTCCCCCGTTCTGCCTTCCTCAGGAGGCCACTCGGTTCGCCTGTGAGAGCATAGCATCCACAGCAGTCATCGACAGGAGTGCAAGAGGGGGCCTGCTCTGGCCAGACACCACCCCTGGCTTCGATCTCACCCTCCCCCTCCCACTGCTCCCCTGCCCCCTTCACTCCTCCTCAGGACGCCACTCGGTCTGCGTGTGAGCTCATAACATCTACAGCAGTCATCGACAGGAGTGCAAGAGGGGGCCTGCTCTGGCCAGACATCACCACTGGCTTCGATACCACCCTTCTCTCCTCGTCCTCAGCGTCAGCATCACCATCACCACCATCAGCAGCAGCAACAGCACCCACTTCCGCTCCTGCTCCTTCCTCACAATCAGTCTCATCCTCGCCGCCACCCACTCGCTTCAGAGTCATGGGCTGTTGGCATCTGGACAAGTCCCGGGCGGAGTCGGGTGGACGTTTGTGGAAGCTGGCGCGGATAAACGGGTTGGTGGCGGGGCAGGTTGGGAGCAGCCTGAAGCACCAGATCGACCTGTGCCCCTTGGCATGGCGGGAGACAACCAAGGTGGGATGGTTGAACGGTATGCATGGTGCACGTGTCTGGCTTTGAGGTGTAATGTGGTCCAGCGTGGTGGAAGCTGGCTCGCATCAGCAGGTTGGGAGCAGCCTCAAGCACCAGATTGACCTGTGCCCCCTGGCATGGCGGGAAACGACCAAGGTGGGATGTGGGGAGCAGCTTAAACAGGTTGGGATGTGGTTTTGAGGTTGGGAGCAGCCTGAAGCACCAGATTGACCTTTGCCCCTTGGCGTGGCGGGAAACAACCAAGGTGGGATGTGGGGGCTGTTTTATAGCTCTCAGGTTGAACGGCCCTTTGTACTCTCGGTGCAAAGCTTCTGGGCTGGCAACTTTTGAGACGTCTCAAAAGTCGTCTACTCTCGGTGCAAAGCTTCTGGGCTGGTACCTGTTACGCGTCTTTTGATGCCAATGAGTTTCCTGGTGTTTTTTTCCCTCCCTCTTGACGTTTGCTTGTGTTTTGAATGCAGGGTCATGAAGGCCCAAGCAACAGCACGAGTAGTTCACCCGTAGCCTACTCGGCGGCATCTTGCTTCGACTCGAGCTTGCAGCAGGCAGCACCACAGTGGACTCCAGACAGCATTCTTGCCGATTGCCCCGCCCTCATTAACTGGCTGCAGGAGCACTTGCCTTGACATTTGGAGGAGTGTGGGCTTGCGTTAACGTGCATGTTTTATATCTGATGTTTGTTTCACTGGTTAGAATCTCGGGGTTGTAATGATTGCATGTGAGCAACCTTGTGTGTGCTTCTCAATGATGCCCCCCAGAAGCTGCTAGGACAATAAGCATGGTGCACGATGGGATTAGCTCTTGTATTTACTGAACGATGGCAAGCTTCGTACAGTAGCGGGTCCGGTTCCAATGGTATCGGCAAGATGACTCCTAGGTGTCACCACCATTCGAGAATCCCACCCTTGGTTTTTTTTCCCGCCACAACCCACCTTGGTTTTTTTCGCCATGTCGCCTATATGTCCCACCACCATTCGACATTCCCAGCCTCCCATGTCTCCCATAATGCTGCCTGAGCCGCTCTTCCAAGCTGTGGAGAGCATTGTTATGGCGGGGGGATAGAGCACACACAGGTACGTGAGGTGTGAGGGGAGTGGTTGTGTATGGAGGGTATGTGCTGTGCTGGTCGCTGGAAACAGGCATGCCAGAGCCGTGCTTTCAAGCTGTGGAGAGAATTCTTATGGCGGGGGACGGGGCGAGCACATGCATGAGAGAGGCGTACCACATACGGGTACGTGTCATGAGCCAGCCATGCCAGCCATGCCAGCCATGCCAGCCATGCCACGTAGGTAGATACTCTGTATTTGGCAGGTCGGCAACATATGACTTACGGGACGAACATATGACTAATGGGATTGCAGTGAGACAGTAATGAAAATAGAGCATCCTTGAAATCTTCACCACGCACTTGTCTTTGTTCGTCTGCTGCACCCTTCGTTCCCCGTATTGCCAGCCATGCCACGTAGGTACTCTGTATTTGACAGGTCAGCAACATACCGGTATGACTTAGGGGACGAACATATGACGCACTTGTCTTTGTTCGTCTGCTGCACCCTTCGTTCCCCGTATTGCCGATCCGTTATACGTAACAGACACAGACCCGAAGGCTTTCGAGTACAGGCTGACGTGCAAGCCTAATCCGGATGGCTCAGGGGTTATCCTCGTTAAGGTGTGCTTCTTTTTTGGTGTGCTTTTTCTTGGTGCGCTTCCTCCTGCTCAAGTGACCATGGAGTCCATCAAGTGTGCTTATATGTTTCATACCTCCTTATAAGCCTCTTCTGTACGCCCATCAGTTCCCACCCCATCAGTTTCCACCCCATCAGTTACCCCATCAGTTCCCACCCCATCAGTTCTCACCCCATCAGTTTCCACCCCATCAGTCTCCACCCCATCAGTTTCCCTCCCCATCAGTTTCCACCCCATCAGTTTCCCCATCAGTTGCCCCATCAGTTTCCCCATCAGTTTCAACCCCATCAGTTTCCCATCAATTTCCCATCAGTTTCCCCATCAGTTTTCCCATCAGTTTCCCCATCAGTTTCCCCATCAGTTTCCCCATCAGTTCCACCCCATCAGTCTCCCCATCAGTTTCCCCATCAGTTTCCCCATCCGTTTCCCCATCAGTTTCCCCATCAGTTTCCACCCCATCAGTTTCCACCGCATCAGTTTCCCCATCAGTTTCCACCCCATCAGTTTCCCCATCAGTTTCCACCCATCTGTCTCCCCATCAGTTTCCCCATCAGTTTCCTCATCAGTTTCCCCATCAGTTTCCCCATCAGTTTCCCCATCAGTTTCCACCCCATCAGTCTCCCCATCAGTTTCCCCATCAGTTTCCTCATCAGTTTCCCCATCAGTTTCCCCATCAGTTTCCCCATCCGTTTCCCCATCAGTTTCCCCATCAGTTTCCATCCCATCAGTTTCCACCGCATCAGTTTCCCCATCAGTTTCCACCCATCAGTTTCCCCATCAGTTTCCACCCCATCAGTTTCCCCATCAGTTTCCCCATCAGTTTCCCCATCAGTTTCCCATCAGTTTCCACCCATCTGTCTCCCCATCAGTTTCCCCATCAGTTTCCTCATCAGATTCCCCATCAGTTTCCCCATCAGTTTCCCCATCAGTTTCCCCATCAGTTTCCCCATCAGTTTCCACCCATCAGTCTCCCCATCAGTTTCCCCATCAGTTTCTCATCAGATTCCCCATCAGTTTCCACCCATCAGTTTCCCCATCAGTTTCCCCATCAGTTTCCCCATCAGTTTCCCCATCAGTTTCCCCATCAGTTTCCACCCCATCAGTCTCCCCATCAGTTTCCCCATCAGTTTCCTCATCAGTTTCCCCATCAGTTTCCCCATCAGTTTCCCCATCCGTTTCCCCATCAGTTTCCCCATCAGTTTCCATCCCATCAGTTTCCACCGCATCAGTTTCCCCATCAGTTTCCACCCCATCAGTTTCCCCATCAGTTTCCACCCCATCAGTTTCCCCATCAGTTTCCCCATCAGTTTCCCCATCAGTTTCCCCATCAGTTTCCACCCCATCTGTCTCCCCATCAGTTTTCCCATCAGTTCCCCCATCAGTTTCCCCATCAGTTTCCTCATCAGTTTCCCCATCAGTTTCCACCCATCAGTTTCCCCATCAGTTTCCCCATCAGTTTCCCATCAGTTTCCACCCCATCAGTTTCCACCCCATCGTTTTCCCCATCAGTTTCCCCATCAGTTTCCCCATCAGTTTCCACCCCATCAGTTTCCCCATCAGTTTCCCCATTAGTTTCCCCATCAGTTTCCACCCCATCAGTTTCCCCATCAGTTTCTCCATCAGTTTCCCCATCAGTTTCCACCCCATCAGTTTCCCCATCAGTTTCCCCATCAGTTTCCACCCCATCAGTTTCCACCCCATCAGTTTCCACCCATCAGTTTCCCCATCAGTTTCCCCATCAGTTTCAACCCCATCAGTTTCCACCCCATCAGTTTCCCCATCAGTTTCCCCATCAGTTTCCACCCCATCAGTTTCCCCATCAGTTTCCCCATCAGTTTCCACCCCATCAGTTTCCCCATCAGTTTCCCCATCAGTTTCCCCATCAGTTTCCACCCCATCAGTTTCCACCCCATCAGTCTCCCCATCAGTTCCCCCATCAGTTTCCCCATCAGTTTCCACCCATCAGTTTCCACCCCATCAGTCTCCCCATCAGTTCCCCCATCAGTTTCCCATCAGTTTCCCCATCAGTTTCCATCCCATCAGTTTCCACCCTATCAGTTTCCCCATCAGTTTCCATCCCATCAGTTTCCACCCATCAGTTTCCCCATCAGTTTCTCCATCAGTTTCCCCATCAGTTTCCACCCATCAGTTTCCCCATCAGTTTCCCCATCAGTTTCCACCCATCAGTTTCCCCATCAGTTTCCCATCAGTTCCCCCATCAGTTTCCCATCAGTTTCCCTATCAGTTTCCCCATCAGTTTCCCCATCAGTTTCCACCCCATCAGTTTCCCCATCAGTTTCTCCATCAGTTTCCCCATCAGTTTCCACCCCATCAGTTTCCCCATCAGTTTCCCCATCAGTTTGCACCCCATCAGTTTCCCCATCAGTTTCCACCCCATCAGTTTCCCCATCAGTTTCCACCCCATCAGTTCCACCCCATCAGTTTCCCCATCAGTTTGCACCCCATCAGTTTCCCCATCAGTTGCCCCATCAGTTTCCCCATCAGTTTCCACCCCATCAGTTTCCACCCCATCAGTTTCCCCATCAGTTTCCACCCCATCAGTTTCCCCATCAGTTTCCCCATCAATTTCCCCATCAGTTTCCCCATCAGTTTTCCCATCAGTTTCCCCATCAGTTTCCCCATCAGTTTTCCCATCAGTTTCCACCCCATCAGTCTCCCCATCAGTTTCCCCATCAGTTTCCCCATCAGTTTCCCCATCAATTTCCACCCCATCAGTTTCCACCCCATCAGTTTCCCCATCAGTTTCCACCCCATCAGTTTCCCCATCAGTTTCCACCCCATCAGTCTCCCCATCAGTTTCCCCATCAGTTTCCCCATCAGTTTCCCCATCAGTTTCCACCCATCAGTTTCCCCATCAGTTTCCCCATCAGTTTCCCCATCAGTTTCCCCATCAGTTTCCCTATCAGTTTCCCCATCAGTTTCCCATCAGTTTCCACCCCATCAGTTTCCACCCCATCAGTTTCCCCATCAGTTTCCCCATCAGTTTCCACCCCATCAGTTTCCCCATCAATTTCCCCATCAGTTTCCCCATCAGTTTCCCCATCAGTTTCCACCGCATCAGTTTCCCCATCAGTTTCCACCCCATCAGTTTCCCCATCAGTTTCCACCCCATCAGTTTCCCCATCAGTTTCCCCATCAGTTTCCCCATCAGTTTCCACCCCATCAGTCTCCCCATCAGTTTCCGCATCAGTTTCCCCATCAGTTTCCACCCCATCAGTTTCCCCATCAATTTCCCCATCTTTTTCCCAACAGTTTCCCCATCAGTTTCCACCCCATCAGTTTCCCCATCAGTTTCCACCCATCAGTTTCCCCATCAGTTTCCACCCATCAGTTTCCCCATCAGTTTCCCCATCAGTTCCCCCATCAGTTTCCCCATCAGTTTCCCCATCAGTTTCCCCATCAGTTTCCCTATCAGTTTCCCCATCAGTTTCCCATCAGTTTCCACCCCATCAGTTTCCACCCCATCAGTTTCCCCATCAGTTTCCCCATCAGTTTCCACCCCATCAGTTTCCCCATCAATTTCCCCATCAGTTTCCCCATCAGTTTTCCCCATCACTTTCCACCCCATCAGTTTCCCCATCAGTTTCTCCATCAGTTTCCCATCAGTTTCACCCCATCAGTTTCCCCATCAGTTTCCCCATCAGTTTCCCCATCAGTTTCCACCCCAACAGTTTCCACCCCATCAGTTTCCCCATCAGTTTCCACCCCATCAGTTTCCACCCCATCAGTTTCCCCATCAGTTTCCCCATCAGATTCCACCCCATGAGTTTCCCCATCAGTTTCCACCCCATCAGTTTCCCCATCAGTTTCCCATCAGTTTCCACCCCATCAGTTTCCCCATCAGTTTCTCCATCAGTTTCCCCATCAGTTTCCACCCCATCAGTTTCCCCATCAGTTTCCCCATCAGTTTCCCCATCAG